AAAACAAGACATTTATTTATTTATCAAAAATCAGCAAATATTAATAATCTTAACAGAATGACTGGCTTGGTCATATTAAAAATATAGAATGATATAATGTCGAAAAAAATAAAAACAGTACATTTATTCATTATCAAAAATTAGCAAATATGAATAATTCTAACAGGAAATATCAAGTTTGCTATTGTTATTATTTAGAAATTGGTGTTGAAGTAGATAAACACAAAGCAGAAGTCTGTTGACTATTGTAAGTAAAAAAAGTAAGTTAAATTTTTGATATTTTTTTTTAAAAATTAGGAATATCTTATAATTTCAAATCTAATTTGATCATTAAGAAATATTAAGAGCATCTATTAATCTATATCCACTAATTAAATTTAAATGTAGTAAAAAAATAATAGTAATCTTATAGAGAAATAGATTATCTTAAATGCGATTCGTTTTTTTTGGAAAAAATGCTGGAAGAACAAGAAATGTCGCCCAACTTCTTTGCACTATTTGAAAAATTTATACATAACCAAAATCAGCTAAATCAGTATATTGCGACAATGGCACAGCATCAGCAAGAAACAAAAGATGCATTGAGAGGACTAACCTCAGGAATGAGAGGTGGTTTAGAAGAACCCAACAGCATGGCATCAAAAGGTCTCACAGTACAACTTCCAGTTTTCTATAGTAGTGACAGTGAAAATATTTCAACTTGGCTTCTACAGATTGATCTTCTTTTTAAGGCTTGTAGAATAGAAGATAAAGAAAGATTACAATATGTTATAACCAGTTTAAAAGGTGCCACACTTCAGTGGTATTTAAACCAGATTCAAGCTCATCATGGAAAAAGCCCTTTTGAAGATTGGACATCATTTGTGAAAGGGATTAAAATTGCTTTCCAACCTCCACACTACTAGCAACTTTTATGATAACAGTTAAGGGACTTTAGGCAAACATCCTCAGTCCAAGAATATGTATCACACTTTAGAAACCTACTGGGGCAAATTGAAAAAATGCACGAGACAGATAAGATGATGTATTTTATAGAAAGACTAAAAGAAGCCACAAAAGCTAAAGTTAACTATCGGGCTCCCAAAATATTGGACGAAGCTATAAAACTTGTTGTTAGTTATGATATAGCAATGTACAGATCACCTAAATCTAATCGAAGTAAGGATAAGGGTAGTGGGTGGACATATACAAGAGTAGGAAAAAAAAGGTATCTCTCCGAAACAAACATAGAGCAAGGGCCTGTACCAATGGATCTGAATAAGGTGAAAGCCAAAAACAAGAATCAAACAGCCCCTACAAAATGGAGTAAGGAAAAAA